GGAAAAAAAAAAAAAGATATTGCATGGACTCCCCCAAATTCCACCACCATGATTTGAAATTATGTTCTTAAATGAGGTTAAATTAGCTGTACACTTTCATCTGATTTACTCTGTGTTTATACAACAAAAGAAATTAAGCACTGCCCACAGCACAACCTTTGAAAGGAAAGTTTTCCAAAATATGTACAGTGGAAGAAAATGTATTTCAGTGACCTTAATCAAATTATGCTTTTAGCGCAGAAATTTAAGTATGGCAAATTATGCCCATTACTTTACTTAAAAATTTGTCAGCAAGAATGAAAAACCTCCCGGACTGTGATCAAACAGATGCTCGCACTTGTTACTGGATACTAATTGGCAGAATCTCACTGTTACATAATTCTAATTTTCTTTTGAAGTTAATGGTTTCTATAATAATTGTCCCCTTTTCAATATCTATTATGATCTTTTGATATCAAATACAAACTAGATACAGCCTAACTTTATCACTATGTCATTAAAATTACTAACATGACCTTGTTCTAATATACTTAGAATTCATTTTAACTCATTAATTTATATATCACAACTCTCAATCTCCTTCCTCATTAAATAGGTTAGGGTTTTTTCTTTTTTTGCTATGTTTCTTTTTAATATTTTTATTAATGGAAGAATAATTTATGGCTTTTTATTAACGTTATTTGAATTTGAAAAGGTAACTTTCAAATGTGCTTCCCATGTCATTATAAAATAAATTTTGTGCAAACTTATTTCAAAAGTAAAACTTTGAGATTGATAGTTCTTTTTTTAAAGTATGCTTAAAATGAAAAATATATATACTATAATTATAAAAAAAGAACCCAAACCCTCCTAAAAACAAATTTTACTTTTTAAATAGATAAAATTAAATAGATAAAAACTTTTTAAATAGATAAAATTCATTGTCATACTTTCTTATTTCACATTAATTTTATCTTCAAACTAAGGAGGAATAAAATACTTAACATTATTTAAATTAAAACTTCAGTAAACAAGATTTTCTCCACTTGTATTTTGTATTACAGCTTCAAGAGGTAAGAATAAAGATTCTCATGAGATATTTGTTTCATATAACTGGAACTATAACTTTCTTCTAACTTTGTGCAGTGGGCAGGCATTTTTGTGTTTTATGCACTAGCATATACCCCTCACCTAGAACAGTACCTGGACCTAACAGATACGCAACGAATATTTGTTGAATAAATGAATACTCTACAGAAAATCACTTAAGATAGAATGATCATCTAAAAGACAATAACAATCTATCACTTTCCAGAATTACTGCCCAAGATGATGTGTATGTTAAGGTCTTAGAACTAACCATTATCTACACAATCATAATTTTTCTAGTGGGAACAATAGCTGAACAATGATCATTTCCTGATACAAAGAAGTAAATCCTATGAACTTTTAAGAACGTTTAGAAACCAGCATGTTCGAAACACCCTAAAAACAGAAAAGATTTGTCTGAGCAGCAGTGCCAGGGTGTTTTACAGTAATTCCAAATTGCCTGTGGCATCTTTTTACAGATTTCCTCGTACTAGTTTTAGAGTTAAAAGGAACCAATTTGGAAAGGGAACACAAATAGCAGGTTTTCTTTGACCCTAATGTTTTCTCATACAGTGGTCAGAAATATAAAATAATATTATGGTTTTCTCTATATATAATTTTACACCATGAAGACTCTGTAATGTTTCATTTACTTTGCTAAAATAAGGAAAATCCTACAAACGTTCAAAGAACACTGAAAAAAAAAACCTAGAGAATTTATCCAGTTAAGAATGAGCTGTGAACCTAACATTATTTGTGATAATCAGAGTTCACTATAATGAAGACACTAAAATTAAAACAGAATATTTTATGATACTCAAAGAACCAGGTGAAATCTAGACAAAAAAATCAAGGATGACTTACCAAAAAGTTTAGTAAATCATTTTGGAACACATATTTTCGACATCTAAAACATCATCACTGAGTAAGCATGTTCTGGAAGTAAAAACGTGTATCCAGATAAAAACGGAAAATAGATGTTTGGTCTACAGACAGATTTAAAGCAAATAATTCCTAAAATTCATGAGAAAAATATTAACACTTAGATTTAAACTATTAACTTGATTTTTATTTTAATTTTCCATACAAGACACTATTAACTTGGTCATTGAGTTTCTTAATATTTCATGCTTTTCATTTAATGATTTATCCTTATAGCTTTAAGAGACAATATAGGCAATTGATTTCTATAAAGGCTTTTGGTTTATATGTAGGCTTTTTGGGTCGTTTTTCCTGCAAACTACTAAAAATATCTTCAATGAATGATCATTGCTACATTTAAGAAAACAAGAGGTTTTCCAAAATCTCGAGCCAATAACAAACACAAACCTTAGTAAAAGATACAATATCATTGCACAATTAAACATAGTAATGCATGTATGTAGTGCAAGAATAAAAAAATTAAAAAATACACAATCAAAAGTGTGAGTGAATAATTATGCTAAGGCTTCTAACAACTTCGCTGCCCTTTTTCTATTTTGACTTGTCAATTAGAGTTACCTTTTTATTGGTATACTGAATGTTGTGTTTTAACTTAAAACTTGTTACGATTCCCCAGTTACAAAAAAAAAAAGTGCTCATAGACCCCAACATTAATATTCTCAGAGGCTAAGAGAACTCTAACTCTACATTAAATATACTGACTGCTACATAGACTGTTTTTCTTCAGGGGCTTTTTATGTATATATGCACATATGTATTTGTAAAAAATGGAGATGGGTGAAGATATGTTAAGTTGGTGGCTTTTATATATCAAGAAGGAGATGCTTCCACAACTAAGTCAATTATTCATGCAGATAAAAATGAAAGGACAATGTTATCCTCAATAATGATGTTCACGATCCAAGAGTATTTGTTATACTAATTTATGCAAAATAATAAAACATCAATAATCACTTGATTATTTGTATGTAGGAGAAAAGAAATACCAGAATGTCCAAAAGATTTAGTGATTCTATCCTGCTTCTTCCTGCAAAATATTTCAAGCATCTTATAAAAGATTTTTAAGTTGACTTCAGAAAATGTAAATAAGTAAAAAATAGCATAATAAAGCATAGATGAGTATTCACAAATGGGTAGAAAGAATATGAAAGTATTGCTGTGGTTCAGAACAGAATCACTACATGGGCTGTGACATCTAATAAATTTATAGTCCAGCTAAGTTTACACAAACCTAAAACCAGTTATAAAGCAATGAGGACTATTAAGTGGGAAAAAGGAAAAGTCACTGACTGTAGAAAGAAAATTATCACTTCAGTACCAAACATCTCTAAATGCAAGAGCTACAGTGAGGAATGACAAATACGCTCATCAGTTATGGACACTCTGGAATAGAAAAAGGAAGTAGAGAAGAAACAAAGTGAGAAAACTAATTTTTTTTTTTAGAGAGAAAAGAATAAAATTAATCTCTTATTAAATCTTGTAAAAAATTTAAAAAAAAACTAAATAATGTAAAAATTCTATTTTGAATCTTGACTGGAACAGCTAAAAACATTTGGGAGCACATGATAAATAGCAAACCAGGACTCAATGTCTAGAAATACAGACTCAATAAATAATTACTTTTACCATTAAAACTAGATTAAAATGTGAGTATTAATGGAAAAAAGAGAATGAAAATAGTCATCATATGAGAATCAGAAGGGCAAAAATATGGCTACATTAAGTTTCTCCAAGAAAAGAAAGACATAAATTAGATATTGATGGTATTTCAGTCTTTTAGGGAAAAAGCAACTAAACTTCAGAGAATGAGAGTGAGGGAAAGGATCTCTTAACTAAACATATGAATCATTAGTAATGTTATACTGTAAAATATGAAAAGATAAATTGTCTAGAAAATGAAAGTTTTCCTAGAACAAAAAGGCAAAGAACAAAGATCCATGGCCCAAAACATGATTACTAGCACCAGGTTTTTTGTTGTTAACTTATTTATCATTTTTGGGGGGGGGGGGGGTGGATAACACTGAGGACGTGACGGAAAAATGTAAAAAGACCAAAACTAAACTAAACTAAAAACAGCTCATGAAAAAACAGTGTATGAATGCTTCAATGATGAAGGCTACTGTCTTGATGATAAAATTTTCTAGTATATTTTGATATTTTAGGGAAACAGCAATAAATTAGGCTTCTAATGATAAGTTTATTAACAGCTACTCACAAATTGGAGAAAAGAAAGAAAGAAAAAAAAATTTATAAAACTAATTCAATTAGACTTTGTCCTCCTGTTTTTGCCTAAATGTAGTTGAGAATCTAATTCAATTAGACTTTGTCCTCCTGTTTTTGCCTAAATGTAGTTGAGAATCTATCTATATAAAGTCACATAAGTCCTATATAAAATGGACTCCATGAGGCCAATATGTTCTAAATTACATCATCAAAATTATCACACGGCTTTGACATAACATTTGGCAATAAAGTTAATCAAATAATTATTAAACAGAGCTATTTATAATTAATTTGTACATATATATAAATATATGTGTAGTAAATGCAGTGTGAATTCATATATAAAGTGTTTTTGTTAATTTTACATGTAACTAAAATAATAAGGAATATACACGTATTCAACAGAGATTTAAATTTGACAACTGCTGGACATTATTTAGTCAAATTTAAAGTAAAAAACTGGGAAGAAACAAAATATGCATAAAAACCCATCTTAAACATACAAATTTTTGGCAAACGTAAATACGGCCACCTATTTCCAAAGCATAATATAACAAAGCATTATACAAGAAAAGTAATTCCAATGTATTCATTTTTATTGTAGTTCAGTAATTATTAAATCAAAATCTTACTTTAGGGGTAGCACTTTTAAGCAAATTCAAAATATTTTCCCACTTGCAAGTTTTGTAAGACTATGACTAATCTTTTAGAACCATGTGTTTGCTTCAAAATAGCTTATGCCTTTGTATAGAATTTGGATCACGTACCCATGCCTCTGTTTGAATGGGCCTGATGTTGCTTAGTAGCACCTCTTCATAGTTTCCATAATCAATGAATTTAACAACTGCTGTCATACCTGAAGAATGAAGAGCTTCAACTTCTGCTCGGTAAAACTGAGGAGACAAAAAGGAGTTTTAAATATGACAATCAATAATGTCCACAAAGGACAATATTTAAGGGAAATGTAAAGACTCAAAGTGTTACAATGTGTAATATTATTTTTGAAAGCTCATTTTTTTAATTAATTATTTTATTGAGATATAATTGACATATAACATTGTATTAGTTTTAGGTGTACAACATAATGATTTGATATATGTATATATTATGAAATGATTACCACAATAAGTTTAGTTAACGTCCATCACCACACATAGTTACCAAAATTTTTTTTCTTGTAATGAGAACTTTTAAGATCTACTCTTTTAGCAACTTTCAAATATACAATATTTTTAAGAAAATAATTTTTAAGAGGATAATATTGTTAAGAAAGAAAACTTACCTTTGGATAACCACAAATTGGCTAAAAAAAGAGAACAATTCTCTCATCTATATGAGTTCTGACATATATTGAGCAGTAGTAACACTTCAGGACAGAACTAAGAGGGTCAGTAGAGAAGCATATTCGCTTGCTAAATGGCTGTGAAAAGATCCAGTGTTATGTTCTGTTGTTAGCCACTGAAGCCCTTTGACTAATTAATGTTAGTAAGACAATTCTTATGTACTAATCAGAATATATAACAATGGAGTAATTTATTTAAAAAATAGGAATATATGCCAAAAATAAATGTCGAAGAAGGCTCATTGCTGCAGTCATCAGAGGCAGCTGGGGTGAAGTAGGGATGTCAGGTAAGGAGTAAGCACACTACTTATATCCAGGATTTACAAGATTTGAGACACTGCAAGACCAGACACTTTTATTTTATCAGTTTACTTAGTGTAATTTGGCTCTGCAAATTAAGGCATCTTAACAAACTCACAAGGAACTGATTTATATAACAACTACAATTTTAAAATTTATCTGTTAAGGTAATTGGGAGTAGGTCAACTGGTTGGAGTACTCCTCCACTATAGGTCAAGCCATTTAGGACCCGAATTATAGGTCTGAATGTTGCTTAGTGAACATGAAATGGAAATGAAAAACTATTTACTTATAAGGAATATTTTCTTCAACCTAGGGTAGTTGGATGTTCTACTATAACACTATCTACTGTAACAGTATCTCTTAACAGGCTCACCAGAATCAGAAAATGCTAAAGGCAACAAAAATTCTTATTCTCCACATCCTTCTAAAATATGAGTTAACCTGGATGTACTAGGAAAGAATCTGTTTTTACTGATCAACTAGTATACTTCATACTACAAAGGTCATTAAGTTAATCCATGGTGTTTCCTTCCCGGGTCTGGATACTAGCAAGTTTAGATACACCACGCTGGAATTTTATTTCAGAGTTCTTGATACACAATCACCTCTCTCTCTTCCTCCTTTATTTCTTAGCCTCACACTTCTGTGTTCTATGAATTGTTGTGAGTATTTCTCGACCTATGCTTCAATTGTAAGCTTCTCAGATAATTACGTCAATTTAGGTAAGTTCAACAATGAGTCATAATATATTTTAGGGAATCAAATAAGTTGATATCCTTTTAGGAACTCACAGTTTAATAAAGACAACTCGTGTGAAAAATGACTTCTATATAATGTGGAAAATACTGTAATAAAGGTGTAGTGATACCACACTTAATAAGGCTGAGGAGTTCAGGAAGAGCTTCCTGAGACAGACGACAAGGGATACAGTCTCCAAGGATGAAGAGGGTTTAGCCAAGTAAAGAACTGAGGAGGGTGCTCAGGGAAAGTTAAGGGACATAAAACATAAAGATGAGTGCAGGAAACTACAAATAGGTTAAAATTAATTATGGCATAATTCGAGAAGAAGGGTCAACAAATAGGGAATTAGACAGGATAAGAAGGGAAGGGCCAGCTCATAGAGGCTCTATGTGCATGCCAGAGTCTGTATTTATTCTACAGGTGAAAGATTTTAACTAGGAAGAATGTCATGGTCTCAGACCAGGATCATGGTGGTGGCAGTTAACATGACAAATTTAAGAGGAATAAGGTTTGAGGCAAGGAGACCAATTTGGAGGTTGTTACAGTATTCCAGGTGAGGGGGCAGAAAGTTATGGTAGTTATGGCAGTCTATAGAGAAGGAGGAGAATTGTCCCAATCCTCAAATCCTTCAATGGAAATAAAGCTCAAGAGAAGGCAAGATATTATGAGCTTTTTTTAAATGATACATTATATTGATTGATTAACTATCTTCAAAACATCATTTTAACGCAATTAAGATTATGGTTTCTTAATGACAGCTATAGCCAATGTCTTTACCCTGGTCCCTGGCTAGAAAGTTGGAAAGTTGCCTATTCTTGACTAGACATTTAAGAGCTATCTCTTAAGTCAGGTGGTTTCAGAAGATAACTAACCCCATCTCTTCCAAAGCGTGAATATTATTTACCTTATTTGCTTAATGGTGTAAGCTATATAGAGCCCACAGTCCCTCACTCTAAACTGAAAGTATACATCCAATTAAAATCAAAGTAGTCACCTTAGAAGATCATCCAATGATTCTAAGAACACTCTAAAAGCTCAAAACATTTTGGGAATTGTTACGTACTGTCTTCCAGAAGCTATATGACTTTATTTTGAATATATTCAGCAGAGGCAATTAATGAATTCAGTATTATTGATTTTTTGAAACAATTATAATTAAAAGTAAAGCTTTATTAACAATCTCAGCAGGTATTTGAAGGCAATTGGGTAATAGCACAGCCAGAAGTACCTGACACATCACAAGCACTTGACACTTAGCAGCTATTCAATTATGGTTTGCTGAATACTCAATATTTGTGGAAGAACTTGTCTGCTAAGTCTAATATCTGAATATCTGTAGGTCTGCTATTATTCTCTGTTGCTTTATTTGTTCCTGGTCATTCATATTCTCTTTTTCTGTATTTTTAACCATGCCTCATAATTTTTTATAGGATGCCAGACATTGCAGATGAAATATTGAAGAGGTTCCTGAAAATATTATTTTTCCCAAAAAGAGGATTATGTTTTCTTTTGGCAGGCAGGCAGAGTACAACCAGATATCCTTGATCCTGTAAAGAGTTGGTTTTAGGCTTTGTAATGGTATTGCACTTAGTATTGCACTTAATACTAGGGCATGATCCTTGTCGGATTTCAATGGAAAGACTTGTTTACCAAGTCTTTCAAACATTATTGGACTTGAACTCCAATCACTTACTTCCTCTGCTCGTCAAGGTCACCAACAACCCCAAATTCTCCAACACAGGAAAGTATTTTTCCATCCTCATCTTAAACAACCTTTCACAGAAGCATCTGACACAAGTGGCCACTTCCTCTAAGGCAGACACTGTTAGCTCTATAAACCAAGACTGATTTCCAACTACTTCACCTTTTCTTGCCTCTCCCATGAGGGAGAAACAGCTAAACCTAAGTAACCCCCCACTACCTAAATCAAATAGTTCCTGTATTTTGGAAAGTGAGTGGTCTGAGTTGCAAGAGTGAGAGTCTGGATAGTGAAGAACACCTGTACTTGCTTTCCAAGCCTCCCTACTAGCCAGGGAGTAGCCATGTGCAATAGATCGAACCAACGAGATTGTCTGTTAGTATTTCTGGGAAGGCTTTTGCTTTTCCAGAAAAAAAGAAAAAACACAGCGAGTGCTCTCTCCTCCCCTTTTTCTAGCCCTGAATAAAATCTTGACAGTAGAGATGCTGCTTTTAGACAAATATTATCTCGCATTTATACAAAAACCTTAAAAAACTACGTCATCTAGTTATACCACCCTGTACCCCTCCTTGCTGCTATCATCAGGTAACACCTCACACCCTGCTTATGCCTCAGCATTCACTGAACACAATGGGGCCTGGTTCCTGATCCCAAGCCCTATAATATCGTTTTAAAAGATCTATGCACATTCCCTAGCCTCAACTTTAGCTCCTTGAAATATTCAGTTAACTTTACCCCCACCACTCCTTTTAGCTACACACACACACTCTCATGGCACATCCCTACCTTATCAACTGAAACTACTCTACCTATGAAATACTTATTTCAAATATTTTTTTCTTTGACTTGATCCTTATATCCATCCAGGTCCCTCACACTATAACTCCTTTATCTTTGTTTTTATTACCTTGCTGATATCTCCAGTCCTCTAACTACTCTGCTTTTTTTCTAAGTGCCTCCTTCAGAATTAACTAATTAACAGAGTCAACAAATAATTATGAAGCTACTACACTGTGAGAGGAGCAGAGCAGCAGAGGAAAACTAGACAGACATAGTCCTGCTTTCAAGGAACTTAAAATTATGGTAGGGGAAAGAGCTATCAATCCAGGATGCAAAACCAAAAATATTTACAAATTGTGATAAGTTTTACAAAGTAAACAAGGCACTGATTGAGAAAGACAACAATGTAGGAGGGAGGAGAGGGCAAGTCAAAGAAGGCTTCTTCTAAGAAGTGATGTTTGAGCCAAGCCCTGAAGGATAAGAGTAGTTGGCAGAAGAGCATGTTGGGCAGAAGGGAAAACAAAGCCCTTCTCTCTGAGGGTCCCTCTGTCCTCTTCCCTTCCTGTCCTCACTGTGTGGGTCTTCTCCCTCTCAGCCAGGCTCTTTCACCTAATCCACTGTATTCTTTCTAGACCTCATCTTCTGTCCTTCCCTTCCCTTTTCTCCACAATTTCTCTCTTTCCCTTTTAGCCAGCATACAATGTAGAACTAGGGAATATTTAAATTACTGGTTTAATAATTATTAAATTATTTATTATTAGCTAAATAATTAACCTTTCTGCTCTTAATTTTGTTAAAAAAGTAGGCTGTGTATATTTTCTTTAATTTAAACAAAACCTGCAGAACTTAACTCTGTGCCACTCAACTGATTTTCTTCCTTGTGAATCAGTATACTTTTACTAGAAACAAAAGCAAACATTAATAGTTTAGTTGATAAGTGAAATAACTTATCAACTTCACTTAATCACTTTTACAATACTTTTCTGAAATGTAAGGTAAATCAAGCCTAACCTAATCAAATCTTATGGGACTGATTGTCCCTAAGCATCCATAAAAAATATTAAATATTTTCCCCTTTTATAAATTATACATCTATAAATCTGTTCAAAGACTTTAAACAGGTACAACCGTAGAATCAAACTCACAGTCCCTGTGCAACGGCTTTCTATAGTCTCACCAGAATGTTACATTCAGTAATATTAGTATATAATATCTTTACAGCATGCATACCTTGTTGTCTTCCCAATAAAGTGCAAAACATTCATCTCCAGGTTTCCACAGTTTTGCATACTCCATAGGAATAGATGATTCTAGTACTTTTTCTGGTTTAATTGGCCCAGATCTTCTTTTGGGTCCACTATTGTAAAATATTTTATCATCATAGGGTGTAGCTGTGATGGGTCCTGCTGGCTTAATAGGTCCTACTCGCCTTCCCTTCAGTGGCATTTCTGTCTCTCCATTTGGAACACCAATGAAACTATTAGTTCGGACAGGATTCTGGTAATCAGTATTTACATTAAAATGTTTTTCAATTTTTACACCACTGAAAGCTTCATTATTTATTGTTCTTGGTTTCCTGTCATAAAAATGATCAGGATTTGCCGTTTGGTTTTCTCTTTTCCCACGTTTTTGATTATTATAATCTATGGATTCTTGGGGAAGTGGATTTTCTTTTGTGTCTGCATAGGATAGACCTTTTCCTGATCTGCTTTGCATAGAGTTATCCCTTCTTTTAAAAGCACCATCATTGTGCTGAGAACTTAAAGGGTACAAAGTATCTTTAGTTCTATCATATCTAGAATACGGTCTATCACACTTGATTCTCTCTTCAGCCCACACTTCAGATCCTGAAGAAATACTCGGTCTTTCAGAACCTCTGTTTCTAGGTAATCCACTGCCTTCTAAAAATGACTTTGAATTTTGGGTGTCTCTTTGAAAACGAGGAGGTTTTTCATTTCTTGACTGCCTGGTATCATTTCGAGGAAGATATCTTGGTTGATTATTATCTTTTACTCCATATTGCTCAGCATTTGACAATCTGTGTTGTCCCTGATGAAGCTGCTGTGGCTGTGATTTAGGTTCTGAAAAGTAAAAGTATATATATTCATATTAAAATGAAGACTCTTCATTAATACTTAGTTATTTTAAAATGTCTAAAATTATACTAGTACAAAATTATCAAACTACTATTTTAACACCTTCCACTATCTTCTCACCTAATTATCTTAATCTCTCTCTGCTTCCTTAGCGTCCTGTATTTCTAATGTATAGTTCTCCTGGTTGGCCACATTAGTAAAGAAGTGATATGAACCATGAAAAAATGGTGGATAATTCAAAAGCAATTTGTCTTTGCCATTGAATGTTTGCATTCTTATAGCTATCTACGTATGGTATTCTAGTAATTCATTTCTCAACATTAATGAAATAGAACTGCAAAAGGCTAACTCAGAGGCTGCTATGAAACTGGACATGTACAAATCCTTGCTCATCGCCTTTCTGAATCCCACTCCAACTTAAAAATGTATAGCTATTACTGTCAGGCTCTAGCCTTTGCAAAAATGTTATTTCTCAAATCTTTCTGGATCTGGAATTGCTAAGTGTTTGGACTACAAATAGATATCCTACTAGAAAAAAAGAGTCAATTTTCTTGACCTACCAAAGAATTAAGAACAGCTACTACTTAGAAATACAAAAAAAAAAGTGTTAAAAATATAATTAAGCATAATAGTGCAGAAAATGTGCAACTAGAAACCAAAAGCAGTAAGATGGTAAATATATATTCATAGATAATTTACTGGCTGTATTTCACATAGCGATCTTCATTCTATTTCAATTTCGTACCATGTCATTTACACTTTCTTCATCCTTTGTTTCATACAGCATGTCTATAACATTATTACCAAACATACTGACTGATCTTTGGTGCACATGTCTTGTTTCTCTTGTCATACACCATAATCAATATGCAGATCAGGATTATTCTTATATTTCCCCAGGGTTACAATACTTCCCAGCAGGGGCACTATTGACATTTTGGATGAGACCGTTTCCTCCATTGCAAGAAAATGAACTGCTTTGACCTCCGGGCACCAAATGCCAAAGCACCCTCCCTCAGCATTCCTAGTCACTGTGACTACTAAAACTGTCCCCATACATTTCCAAACACCCACTGGAGGCGAAAAGAGAGCTGATAAAATGTTTAGATCAACAGGGATAAACAGAAGACTTTTAAAGTTCCTAAGTGACAAAACAAGTCACAGACTAAAGATCAAGACTCAAAATGGCAAGAAATTTCTCAACAGAACAACTGGAAGCTAGAAGCCTATCTAATAGGCTTCAAATGTCTTTGAAATAAAAGGAAAATTATTTTCTAAGTACAGTTCTATATCTAGCCAAACCACCCATTAATTATGACAAAGAACAAAGACTTTTCAAACATGTAAGATCTCAAACAATAGCCAAGACCGTTTACAGAGACTTTTTAAAAATCACTTTTCCCCAAGATCTGCTTTGTAAATATAACACAAACATCTTATTCTTAACAACTGTAGTCAATATTAAATTTTTCTTTAGAAAGATGCAAAATGGTCACCTGTAGTTTCTGCTGGCATTTTTGATTATCCAAGAGTAAGGATTCAGAATAGTAGTGAACATAAGCAGGACACAAATCAGCATTTTCAGTAGAAAGCATGTACTGGCATTTGTTCCAGTCATTATTAGAGAATAAAAACAACAGTTGCCTCTTGCTGACTATCTGCTATGTATTAGGTACCCCACACTAGCACTTGACGCACATTATCAATAGTCCCCACAGTAGTATTAAGATACAGGTGTTATGAGGTTTATTTAACAGAGAGAGGTAAACTCCCTTGTATAGTGAGTTGGAGAAATTTTTCAACTTCCAAAATAAGTCAAATATGAAGGTATTTTATTTGCTGTCAATTAGGTTTGAATAGATATTGAAGAAGTGTTTAGGGTTCGATTTTTCTTAAATTATTCCAATTAGGGCCACCAATACCTATGATGGTCAGGAAGCACAAATAAATTAGGTCATTATGAGAGCAACTAAGTATCCTAGACTATAGAGAGTGTCTGGATAACCACGTACACAGAATGAAGGCTTCAACTAGGCTTGATAGGTGTGGGAGATTTTGATTTCAGTTCTTCTAAAAGAAAAAAAAGTAAAGATTTCCTAATCTATTTAATTGACAATATACATGATTGTAGAATAAACATGTAATTATACTATAATGAATATACTTAATTTCTGTTATGATGCTGAGATAATATAGTGAGAAAAGAATCTATAAAGGAAATAATTTTTTAAAATAAGAATTTCTCTTAAAAATAAACTAAATGAGGCAGAAGTCAAAATTGTGCTTTTAAAAGAACATACTTTTCACATACATCCATTTCATTCCAAAATAAAATAACAGTAAGCCAAGAAAGGAAGGTCCTTAAACGTTTCACCATTCTCAATTTTCCTTAAACCCAACATCTTTTGTCTTAGGTTAAGTAATAAAGTCAAATATAAAGTAAATATTTTGAAACTGAGCTAATCTATTAAGTAAATAACAGAATATGCTCAATTACTAAATTGTGAAAAGGTGATCTTAAATAAATTAAGAAATAGCCCCCAAATCAAATAGAAAGCTCCTCAGTTCTATGGTCAGAATCTGGTTGCTGTCACCCTTCCTGAGAAGGCATGATGATTCTAAACCACCCAAAATACTAATTGACACCATAGGCCAGGTCTAGAACCACTCTAATAATAAGTATACCGAGAAATTTTTCTGTAGAGCCAGCAGAATAAATTGCATCACTATTTTTTTTTAATGTCCTGAAGGGGAAAGATGAAATAAAAGCATAAATAGAAATTGGTAACATTTAATATTAAGTAGGAGAAAAAAGGAAAAGGAAGATTAGCAAAAATGACAGAAAAATTCATCACAAAACTGATAAAACTGTGAAAACATCTAAAAGATCAAAGTGATAAAAAGCTCATATGAAAAAACTAATCAAAGAATTCTGCATGAGTTTAGCTTGACTTGTGAGAAAATGTTCCTATTATACTAGACGATGAGTTTCAAAATGTATGTGTACAAGATCATTGATTACAATGTTTTATATCCCCATAATTTGAAATGCAAGGATCACTAAGAATGTATTTATTAATTGCCACAAATTATTTGGGTTTATATATAAGAATGCGCTGAATTAATCAGGCATCTTAAAATATTAATACTTCTTTGCAGAATATTCATTCTCCAGTCACGGTTGTACCTGCATTTTATAGTAGGAAAACAGGTATATTTTGTTTCCCAATATCATTCTTCATTTTATTCAGACCTACCTGAAGAAGAAGTGACTTAATATTTATTAAGATTTTACTATGTGCCTGACTCGACTTTAAAATGCCTATATTATTTCACGAAATTCTCACAACCACCCTGAAGGGCAATATTATTACCCTTATTTTATAAGTGAAGAAACAAAGCAAAGTTAGCAGCTAGAAAAACACTGAAGCCAGAATTTAAACTCAAATCTAACTGAAGCCAAAGCCCAGGATTTTTCCACTAGGCCAAGCTGCCTGCCCAGAGAAACAAAACAGAATGTAACCCACAGCATGTTCGCTACAATTTTATTACCTACATCTGTTCATTTCTGGTGAGATGCAGAAATCACACAGGCTCTTTCACAATCCCTTATGGGCTGAAAAAATAAATTTGGATACTAGGACTGCCAGAATCCTGACCTAAAATTAATAATCTCTTTCCATTAATGCAGAAAAAACTAAAACTCTTATTAACAGTTGGACTGGTATTTAGAAGCTCACAAACTGGAACTTGGAGCTAACATAGTGTGTAGGATACAACCTCTGGAGAGGGACTGCAAGGTTATATCACAGCTCTGCCACTTTGCAGTTCTGTAACCTTAGGCAAGATATTTAACTTTTCGAAGCCTCATCTTTAAGGAAGGGATAAAAATAGCACATATCTCAGAGGATTAACTCTGAGTAAAGTACTCAGAACAGTATCTGGCTTTAATAAACACTCAGTAAATGTTAGCTGTCATTGTTATTATTATAATAATTATTATTCGTATTGTAATTATGCAAATAAACTTAGTTGATTACATTAGGAAAAACCAATACTTGGATGATAAAGGCAATTCCCTAGTTACACCCCACCCCACCAAGCCTCATCTTTAGCTAGGATCCTTACCTTGCTTTAGTTTTTGTTTGTTTTTGTTTTTTTCTTGTTGAAAACAGTCCAGAAAGAATGCTTTAGTAAAAACTTCTTCAGTATCCAATTATAAAAGTCATTTTATAAAGAAAATTTAGATACATCAGAAAGTCAACATCATACTCACACACTACTGCTTTTCACTTAAAATATACTATAAACATTCTCCAGATAAAATTTCTTCTATACACGCTTTAAAATTTTACTATATTAAAACATGGCAAGAAATGTTTTAAAAAGTAAAAATCACTCATAATCCTATCATAAGAAAAATGTATAGAATGAAAGTGCTATCTTCTGCCTACCCAACCCCACCTCTAGGGATAGCCACTACTAACATTTTCAGAGGTTATTCTTCCTTTTTATATAACTCATAGAGACATATCTACACATTTTATTTTATTTTTTTACAAAAAACAGACATGCACATCTCATAGGCTGCAATATACTTTTTAAATCAACTGTATATCATGGGCATCTTTCCAAGTACATAGAGCTATCTCATTCATTTCAATATTGCACTTTTTGTTTTAAAGGGGGGTACTGTAAATATTATTAGATATTACCCAAATTGAGAGTCTTAGCATTTTTTTCTCCAGTGCCTAGCTACAATAGAATCAGGCAAATAGAGGGCATTTGACGCATATTTGCTGAAAGGAAGATACAACTACTAAAAACAATGGGAATGGAACGATCCCGCAAGTTCAAAATGACTACTTGTTTAACACTGTTACCTAGGCTCAGCTAAGAGTGCAACACTGAAATAGAAAATGTACTCTTCTATTTTGCTTTCTGTAAGAAAGGTGTGCCAGAAAGCACATTGGGATAGATTTAGA